CACTGGACCCCAAGTCCTTGAAGTCCTGCACCTTTGTGACCTCTGCTCCTCGTAGCCTCACTGTTCCACCTCCTCCATCTCTTTCACACACATGTACTCTGTCTTACTACAACTGACTTTCAGTCCTCTTCCTTCAAGTGCATACCTCCACCTCTCCAAGTTCTCTTCCACCTTTTCCCTGTTCTCACCACCGATCACAATGTCATCGGCGGACATCATAGTCCACGGGAATTCCTACTTGACCTCATCGGTTAGTCGGTCAATCACCAGAGCAAACTGACATTAATGGCAGTAAATGTATCAGAGGGTGACCCTGTAGTCTGGCTTATGTCATGTGCTGAGACACTGTGCAGGATGGCACGTGGTGTTGTAGAGAGTCCAATACGTGTGTCCGGATGGTGCACAATATAATGAGTTTAACTTTGTGTAGTCTGTCCTAGGCTACTAGAATCTGTGTGGGCGTCCTTACCCATTTCAAGATATGACCAGCCAGCCTCATGAAAACCTACATTGTGACATCTGTCAAACTTTCTCAAGTGTTCCTAATGTCTAATTGTGTCTACAAGGCATCCTCTGTGTGGAATGACCTTCACTCACTGTTTTCATTGATTATCTGATGCCCCAGCAACTGTGTGATAACACTATTACTATTACTATTCTCTGGTGCTTGGTTTAGAAAGGCCAGTTCCTTAAAAATACTGCAAATGGTAAATGGACTGTACTTAGATGGCATCTTTTTAGCCAACCAGTCTACTCAATGCACTTTGCAACACAATCTGTGCCCTCATTTACCTCCACACACACACATTCAAACAGCACTCTACTACATCTCTGCAAAGCAGAATGAATAAATCATTCTGTAATCTAATCAGCGCTTTAGATTGTATTCATACACTGATGGGACACATCAGAGACCATAAAGGGGTCTGTGTCTTGAAGGGACACTTTGACATGTGCATACTGAACTAAATCTCTGATTTTCTCTCTGAAGGACGACTGCTCTAACGACAGCGCCACAGCTGCCCTGATAGTTATTTACATACCCATAGATGGGCTGCAGGCGCTCCAAATAAATTGGACAATTCCTGCTGGATACTTTATTTTTAAGTTCTGTGTAACAAGGTTGGATTCAGCAGTTTTCACTATCTCCTAAAGGCACCCACTTAAGGGAGGATAAATGGGTATGTTGATTGCATTTTATTGGTTGAATTTACCCTATAATTGTATATTTCCATGATCACCTTATTACTAAGTAATGCTACAGGCTATTTATTATGACATCAGACTTTAACATGCTGATAAACTGCTGCATTGATTCAGTGCAAACTGAGCTGGACTCAGCATTCAAGAATTCAAGGTTCTTTATTTGTCATATGCACCACATCTGTTACATGTGGTGGAACAAGATTGTGTACACAGGGTCCCAGTTACATCCAACAAAAGTATAAAATGTGAAAGAAAAACAGTACTAAGATCTAAGATATGAACTAAGAAAGAAATTAACTAAATATATGCTAAGCACGGATAGCAGAAAAACAATAGCAGCACGAACATGAGTCTGTGTGAGCAGATGAGTACGAATGAACACAGCAACATGAAACAGATCAGCAGCAGCAGGATGTTTTTTTCTGGTTAGAGATTCATGAGTCTTAACAGCTTCAGGGTAGAAGCTGTTCCTCAGTCTAGTGGCTCAACACTTAATGCTCCTCAACCTCCTTCCTGAGGGGAGCGGGGCAAGAAGTGTGTGTGCTGGGTGAGTGGGGTCCTTCATGATGCAGGTGGTCCTCCTGCATCTGGAGGTGTAGATGTATGTGATGGAGGGGAGACTCCAACAGACTTCTGTGCATTGAGTCACTAAAAGGCATTGACTACCTTAATTGTAAAGCAAGACACTCAGTGTGATATCTGTGTTGTATTCTGATATAATCTTAAATCAAAGATTTACATTTCTAACATTAGAAGACATCTTAGCAAAATGACACAAAAGATAAAAATTTTCTTCATGTTTGTAAAAATATTGAAGTGCAAAAGGAGTGTTAATATTAAGGTGTGACTTTGTGTCTTTGTTCTGCTTTAATGTTTCTTTTAAGTAACTTTTAGTCGTACTGTTCATGCACTACAGCACGTCCACCCTTTTTTTATTGACATGTGACTGCATGTCGGCTCATTAAGGCCTTCAGAAAAGGACGTGGGCTTAAAATGCCTTCATCTAAAAGACCCACTGTGGAAATAAGCCCCGGTGGATGCTCAGCATGTAAATCAATAAGGCTCTGATGTTTCCCAGAGATTCTCAGAAGAGGAAAACCTTCATCCTCTTTTTTATTTTTCTTCTTTGGGTCATTCGTGACTTGTTGTCTTTCCTCTCATGGCAGGCTGCCATCCCTCTTGACAGCTGTCCAGCAAAACAAGCAGCAGTCTTCACCCAAAGCCTGTGATTAACGTTTTTCTCCATTTTTTTCCTTCTTCTATTTTTTGCCTCGCCACACACCCTGTCTTTGTCTCTTGTTCTCTACATTCTGTTTACTCTGGTGTCTTCTCACTTTGTCTTTCTCCTTCACCTTTCTCTAAGCTCTTCAACACTTTCTGTTTTTCAAATCATATTTGCCAAAGTGACTCCTTTTTCTTTTGTTATTTTTATTATCACTTGCTGAAAGGTAAAAGCCTGATGCATTGTTTCTGCCTGTGACTGTGTGTGTCTGTTACCAAAATATCTCATGAAGTTTGAGGATGACAACAAAGTCCATGCTCAATAATCCAGGTATACAATCCAACATTTTTCAGTCAGGTCATCTGGACAGTTTCTTTTTTTTTTGTGCTGAAACGTTTCGCCTTCGATCCAGAAGATGACCTGACTGAAAAATGTTGGATTATATACCTGGATTATTGAGCATGGACTTTGTTGTTTTCAACCAGTTTGACACGACTGTTAACAAGGAAGAGGGCCGGCAATGGAGGAGGGGGCGTACCAAAGAGACCATCTTAGCACCAACAAAACTGGCTTGTTCCACTTTGGAGTAAGCTGTTGGGGGAAGAATCAGTTTTGTTGTGCGTTTCCTTGACTGATGAAGCCTTCTGGATCGAAGGTGAAACGTTTCAGCACAAAAAAAGAAACTGTCCAGATGACCTGACTGAAAAATGTTGGAAGTTTGAGGATGATTTGCAGAAAGTGATTATTGGATGCACATCTACAGCCTGTTTATCTTTTGGAATCAACTTGATTCAAGATGGCTGTCACAGCCAACTGACTTTAAAAACACAAAATGGCTATATTTAAGTTAAGTTTACAGATTTTTTAAATTTCCTTCCCCTTCTTCAGGTGTCACCAATTGCATGAAGACTTGGCAATTATTTTTACACCGCATGACCTTCCTGACACAACCACAGACCATCGAGCTACCAGAGCCCTCTGTGTGGAGCAGAGAGCTGCCATCTAGGGTGCCTGGGGGAGCAGATGGTGGGGGTTAAGATTGCTCAAGGGCCCAAACTGGGGCAAATGTGGGTGGAGGCAGGTGTGGAAGTTTCACCTTTCCAACCAACATTTTGATGTTGTCGGTACCAGGAGTTGAACCAGCGATTTTCCGATCACAAGCCCACTAGGGGCCAAGATGGTGTAGGGGCATGGCAGCCGACTTGGGACCCGAAGGTCCTGGGCTCGATCCCCGGTCATTGCACATCTCGTGGTGTCTCTGAACAGGACACCTAATCCCGAATTGCTCCCCAGACGCTTAAATAGCTGCCCACTGCTCCATCTGGGTGAATTCCAGGTGCAATGGGTTAAATGCAGAAAGCCAATGTCATCTTTGTATGGGAACATACACGATGACAACACATAACACTTTATTTATTACCTATAACCTCTGCGCCACCACTCCCATAAGTTTACAGATGTTGACCTACAATTTTGTGTAGTAATGGCTAAAATTCTGAGTGCTAACTGATTACACAAAATCTTTTCTTAAAATAATAATAACTGTTTGCAGTCAGCTTTGTCTGTCTGTTAGCACAAGTATTTTGTGAATCCCTCTACTGGTTTTCATGAAACGGCCAGGAAACAAACACTGGGTGGACCTCAGCAACTGGTTATCTTTTGGAGCCAACCTAATGACGTTAGAAAACACAGAACTTCCTTTAATCCAGTCATGTTACAGGGTTTGTGCCAAAATGTGGTGTGGTTGTAGCTGAGAGCCATTCACAATATATACTCCAAGGGCTAAGATCTTTGCTTCAATCATCAGCATTACCTGCTGGCATCAAGCCTGTCTGTTAGCAAAATATCTCACGAACCACTGGAACAGTTTTAATGAAACTTTCATAAGGGGGCCGAGATGGTGTAGAGGCAGGGCAGCCGGCTTGGGACCCGAAAGTCCCAGGTTCGATCCCCAGTCACTGCACATCACGTGGCGTCTCTGGGCAGCACGTCTCATCCCCAAAATGGCCCCCGGGCGCTTTCAGTAGCTGCCCACTGCACCACCTGGTGGTGGATGGGTTAAATGCAGAGACTAATTTCGCCATTGTATGGAAACATACAGTGCTGACATTGTGATGACATTATTATTATTATTATTATAAATCATAACAGATATCCATCTACAAATCTTTACTTTGGAGTCAGTCCAATTGAAGTTGGCCACCAAAGCTAATTGCTATAAGCTAACACAGAAATGGCTTTAACTCTGTCATTCTTACAGATGTGCTAAATTTTAATGTGGTAGTAGAAGTATTCACAGCATTGACTCTGAGTGTGAAATGTTATGCAACATTATTTTCAAGGTTTGACCAAAACAGCAACAAATCTGTTATTTCAAATTAAAAAGTGATCTTATTCTACAATGACTTTGTGATAAAAGGCAACTGGTGATATGCATTTCTTCAAATAATTTTAGGTTTTTAATCAAATGTAGAAATTGCAGCATCTTAAACTCTAACTTCATATAAAAATAAATATTTTAAACACATTCTGCCTCTTTCGACCTTCCCTTCTTTCTCAACCTGTCCTTCAGGAGGAGTTGCGGGAGCTGAGGCAGCAGTCCATCGACCCGCAGGCGGAGCAGGAGATCATCAACAGCATCGAGGAGATCTACTTCTCCAACGACTCCTTCGACATGGTGCGACATGAACTGGAGGTCAGAACTCGTGTTACGGCACAAACGAGTCCCACTCACTTTAAAATGATGTCAGACATGCTCCTAAGTTCCCACTGCTATAAGAACGATTGCATCAAATCCTCCACATTTCACTGCCTTTGATAAGAAGTGAGTTGCATCTTAAATGTGAATAAATATAGTTATTTAGCTCGTTGGGCCCCGTCTGACTGGCAGGAATAAAGCTTTCTCACCTGAGCTGCCGTTTCTTACACGTCTACTGAGCTGCATGCATATCATTGAGGTCTGGATTGATGGATTGCAACAACACAAGAAAGGTGTGAAATCTCATTAGATTTATCTTGGTACTGCTACACCATCTGAAATGAGACTCTCAGTCAAGAAGAAAGTAATTACCGATCATCCTTTGGGCCATGGATTTGAATATCTTCATTCTCTTGCAGAGTTTTGTTTGCTGTTTACTAAATAAGATTCTCTACTTTCTTGACTAATCTGACAAGATTCGGCCGAGCGTATTCATACTTTTTTCCTATTTTGAAAGAACAAAGAGTTACAGCTATCTTTAGCTATACATAGCTGACGTTCTTTGAAACTCATAGTAAGATTTCTTAGAAAAATTAAGACTCCTGCGGTGAAAATGAGCTCTTTCAAGATAAAAGAAATCCCTGCTGTGATCCTTAGCAGCAGAACTTTGACACCACTGTAATTCTGAGATTAATGTGAGATCTTTCACGAAGTTGAATGCTAGATGTACTGTATTTTTTGGTCTATAAGTCATGTTTTTTTTGCATAATTTACATGTCCTGTGACTTGTACACCAAAGCGACTTATTTATGATTTTTTTTCCCATATTTGTAAAACAATTTTTGGCTGACATAGTTTGCATTCATGCTGACTGAAAATATTGAACACTACCATTTTCAGCCACTAGATGGCACTTGAGTAGTATGGCATGCCGTTGTACAGGTCCTTCTCAAAAAATTAGCATATTGTGATAAAGGTCATTATTTTCCATAATGTAATGATAAAAATGAAACTT